AAAAAAAAAAAAAAAAAAAAAAAAAAAAAAAAAAAAAAGAGGAGGAATGAACTATTATATATTCTAGAAGCTTAACCAGTTGGACCATTTATTGAAATTTTGTAGAAGACAACCACCGGAAACATTACTCTTGGGAATGCTGTTCTGCAATCGTATAGCTTACCAACATCCCATAACTGGTATTGGCTGGGAGTAGGTGCTTTATTGCTCTACGTTTTGTTTTTCAACATGGTTCTGACTCTAGCCTTGACTTTTCTCAACCGTAAGTGATACTGAACACCGTGTATTATATATTTTGAATTGCCAGCATATTATTGCAGTGTTTACTAGACTTTCTTTTCTCTCTCTTTATTCTTTCAGCAATAAGAAAATCTCAGGCAATTGTTCCACCAGAAGCTGTTGGTCTAAAATCAACTATAGATGGTAAAGTATTCCTCTCTCTCATGGCTGACTGGATGTGTATTTCTTACCTATTTATGATAATATGTTTGGCAGGAAAGAGTAAGATTTCTGAGTCAAATGGAGACCCTGGCCAGGAGACGACAAAAAAAAAGGGGATGATACTCCCATTCCAACCACTGACAATGACTTTCCATAATGTCAAATACTTTGTTGACATGCCAAAGGTATTCGTACTGAAGAATTTGCTTACTTGCACATGTTGAATCGCATCATATCTAGCAGAAGTTATGTATACTTTTTTCAGGAAATGAGTTCAGAAGGAATACCTGAAAGGAAGCTGCAACTACTGTCAAATGTTAGTGGAGTTTTCTCTCCCGGTGTTCTTACTGCATTGGTTGGTTCGAGCGGAGCAGGAAAAACCACATTGATGGATTGCCTAGCTGGAAGAAAGACTGCTGGATATATAGAGGGTGATATTAGGATATCAGGATACCCGAAACAACAACAGACTTTTGCTAGAATTTCAGGATATGTTGAACAAAATGATATACATTCTCCTCAAGTGACAGTTTATGAATCCCTATTGTTTTCTTCTTATCTCCGTCTTCCCAAAGAAGTGAATAAGGAACAAAGAGAGGTAGTTGCAACCACCGTTCAGTTTTCATTTTTATCTTCTGAATTTCAATATATTCTGATTGATCTATTTGGTTAAAATACTAAAACCCATTTGACTATCTTATTCTCCAGGAGTTTGTCAAAGAGGTAATGGACTTGGTGGAACTTGACTCTCTAAAGAATGCTTTGGTAGGCTTGCCTGGCAGTTCTGGCTTATCAACAGAACAAAGAAAGCGCTTGACAATTGCAGTAGAACTTGTCGCAAATCCTTCCATAATTTTCATGGATGAACCTACATCTGGGCTTGATGCACGAGCAGCAGCCATTGTAATGCGAACTGTTCGTAATACTGTAGACACTGGCAGAACCGTTGTTTGCACGATCCATCAGCCAAGTATTGACATTTTTGAAGCATTTGACGAGGTATGTTACCAAGGCATTTCTGAAATAGATAAGTTACATGAGGTGCGCCAGGCATCTGCTCATGTGATGTTAAAACATGTAGCTTCTTCTTATGAAACGCGGAGGACAAGTAATATACGGGGGGAAGCTTGGGGAGAAGTCGCAAACTATGATTGACTACTTTCAGGTACGTGCTTATGCCTCCATCTTTCATTTAGTACAGTTATTCAACTGTGCTAGGAAAACGACTTTCAAGAGATATAAAGTGTCCTGTACAACTTTAAAATTGAGAGAAAGATTCTTCTAACCTTTTCTTGGTGTAGAGGTGCGGGGGTGCCCCAGCGATGTTGATCCGCATTTCACTGCTGTTACCCTCGGTTTTAATCTTGATTATTTACTACTAATTTAATTACATAAAAAAATTCATTGTGGTCTCTGTATATAGATAGTTCATCTATTGATATAGTTAAAATCTGATTGTACTTATAAAAGAAACAATTAGAAATTTAGAATTCAATTATATGACGCAGTTCCTTTATTTTGGTTAATAACTTCTCTAAATCTATTATTCATGCTGCACGTGTTTGTGATAATATTTTGTAGAGTATCCCTGGGATAACACCAATTCCTAGTGGTTATAATCCTGCAACCTGGATGCTTGAGATAAGTACGCCAGCTGCTGAAGAGAGAATAGGAGAAGATTTTGCAGTAATATACAGAAATTCTGAGCAGTTCAGGTGATCTTAACAAATGTCTTCTTCACCTGAAATGTACTAGTTATTGCTCTCTTCCTTTTTCCTTTATTTACAATTTTGTAGGACTTATATCTTTCTCTAAAAATAGGGGGGTGGAAGCCTCAATTAAGCATCTGAGCGTCCCGCCTGAGAATTCACAACCTCTAAAGTTCACCACCATGTACAGTCAAGGTGCACTTTCTCAGTTTAGGATCTGTCTGTGGAAGCAAAATCTAGTGTACTGGAGAAGTCCGTCTTATAATGCTGTTAGGTTGTTCTTCACAACATTGAGTGCTCTGATTCTTGGTTCTGTATTTTGGGATGTCGGTTCGAGAAGGTAACTTTTCTTTTATGAAATATCTTGAGCAAACTATTGGATAATTCTTTCAGTCTCTATAAAGCAGACACGGGGTGGGCACTTTTCATTCTGATGTATTTGTGGAACAACTTTCGCTACATACTATTTTCCGGGGGGATTCTTGAAGAAGGATAAGTGAGAACAAGAGGGTTGCTATTCTTTTTCTTTTTATTAAGGATATAAATATAGAACTTTTATGGACAAACTAGTTGGACTGCCAGATTGAAAGGAGCAGAACTATGCAAATTAACATAATGAGAGAAAACAAGCAAGTAAACTAGAAGTTAGGACAGATCTTGTACTTTAAGGAAATGTATTTTATGTGTCAATCCAATATTATATAGTGCATTGCCTTTTTATACGATGAATTCACGTCGGCACAATTAAGTATTATCATCCCATAATGTCTAATTTCAGTTACATATTCATGTGGCATAAGAATAACTGGATCCTCCTTATCTTCTTGTTCTCTTGGAATCATCCTCTTGAAGTGTTTTATAATTTTAATTCGACGTTTCAATCACCTTGACATCCGTAAAAATGCAAGAAGTTCTTGAATTTGAAATTTGAGAAACATTGATGAATTGCGAGGGCCATGTTGTTGTAGTGGATGAAAAATTCAACATTCGATGCTGACGTGTAAGTGGTGACTAGAAACTGCTCTTAGTTGTCCGATCCATCATATTTTCTCCATAGCTGGATTTCAGAAAGCTATTGGACCAGGATTAGTGCACCTGAAAGGGCTTCAATAGCTAGCCAGTCACATAAAACACCCAGCCTTCAAGTGAAACTACTTGACTGCAAAACTTTTGTAGTCTTTACAGTTATAGTTGAGAAATAGTGGTAGCGGTTAACTTTCCAAGTAAGCCTACTTGACTGCAAAACTTTGTGGTCCATAGTTATAGTTGAGAAATAGTAGTAATGGTTAAACAGAAAGTCAACTTAAAATGGCTGCTCAAATTTAATATGCATCTTTGCTCCACTTTGTTGAGAAGATTAGAATTAAGTTTGAAGGAGGTTGTGGAAGCTTTTCTACCATTTCACCCTACAATTATAGAACCCTCAGAGGTGAAAATTCACCCTACAATTATAGGCATATCTATAGACCGTCCCCGTACAAGTGGTAGCATAATAAACTTTTTATGTTTCTCTAGTTACAGCCCTATTGAGTGAATAAGATTAATTACCTACACAAACTGCACAAGTTTTTGCCAATCCTAAGGACGAAGTAATGCAGCTGTCGCTCTATCACTTTTGAAGTTTTCCTTTTCATTTGCTCTTTTCTTAACGGTGAAAAGGGTAACTATAATTTAAGCCCTAATCGGTTCTTCGAAGAAATACCTACACAATGCAACAACAATAATACCAATAGCAAACCCAAAGTAATTTCACAAAGTGGGGTCTGCGGAGGGTAGAGTGTACGCAAACTTTACACCTACCTTGTGAAGGTAGAGAGATTGTTTCTGATAGATCCCGACTCAAGGAAAAATGAAAAAGAGTAGAAACAAAAAGCAGTAACAACAGCATGGAAATATGATAAGGTGATAGAATATGATAGAATAATTGAAGCGAAGGAAACAACGTATAGTAAAAGAAATCTGCGGATAAGAAGATATGAAAATACGAGGCTATTACTAGTGCTACCGGCATGAAAGAAGACATGCATGCCTATCTACTAACCTTCTACCCTAATTTCCAACCTCCAAACCCTCCTATCAAGAGTCATATTCTCAATAAGCTGAAGCTGCCAAATATCATGCCTAATTACTCTCCCTAATATTTCTTGAGCCTACCCCTACGTCTCCTTAGCCCCACCATGGCAAACCTCTCACACCTTCTCATCGGGGCATCTCTGCACCTCTTCTTCACATACCTATACCACCTCAATCTTGCTTCCCACATCTTGTCCTCCTCGGGGCTCACTCTTACCTTGTCTCGAGTATCTTCATTCCTAATCTTATCACTTCTGGTATGTCCACACATCCATCTCAGCATCCTCATTTCTACTGCTTTCATCTTTTTGACATGGGTGTTGTTGACAGGGCAACACCCCACCCCATACAACATAGTCGATCTAAACACCACTCTATAAAACTTTACCTTTAAGTCTTGGTGGCACCTTCATATAAACAAAACCTTGGAAGTGAGCCTTTATTTCATCTACACCCTCCAATTCGATGTGTGACATTCTCATCAATCTCTCCATTACCTTGGATTATAGATCTGAGGTACTTGAAACTCCCTTTCTTAGGGATGACTTGCGAATCCAGCCTCACTTCTACGCTCGCTTCATGAGTCACGTCGCTGAACTTGCATTTCAAGTACTATGTGTTTAGTCCTACTCAACTTAAAACCTTTTGATTCCAAGGTCTGTCTCCAAACCTCCAGCCTCGCGTCTCGTCAATTAGTAATATGTCATTTGCAAATAACATGCACTATGGCACCTCCCTTGGATGTGCCGTGTCAGAACATCCTTCGCCAGAGCATAAAAACAGGTTAAGCGCGGATCCCTGATTCAATCCCATCACGACTGGGAAGTGCTTCGAGTCTCCTCCCACCGTGCTAACCTGGGTCTTAATGCCATCATACATATCCTAGATCACCTTAATATAAGCTAAAGGCACACCTCTAACCTCCAAACATCTCCAAAGAATCTCCCTGGGGACTTTGTCATAAGCTTTCTCTAGGTCAATGAACAATATGTGCAAGTCCCTTTTCCCTTTCTCTATACTGCTCCATCAGTCTCCTAATAAGGTGAATGGCTTCAGTAGTCGATCGCCCCGGCATTGAATCCGAACTGATTCTCGAAAATAGACACACTTCTCCTCACCCTAACTTCCACCACCCTCTCCCAAACTTTCATGATGTGACTTAGCAGCTTGATGCCCCTATAGTTGTTGCAATTGTAGATATTCCCCTTATTCTTTTACATCGGAACCATCATACTCCACCTCCATTCTTCAGGCATCTTCGTTGTCTTAAAATTAACATTAAACAACTTAGTAAGCCATTCCAAACCTGCTATGTCCGCATTCTTCCAAAATTCCATAGGGATCTCGTTTGGCCGGATCGCTCTACCCCTGCTCATCTTGTGCATAGTCCTCACAACCTCTTCAACCTTAATACGCCGGAAAACTCAAAATCTCGGCGACTCTCGGAGTGCTCCAAGTCCCAACACAATGTCCCTATCCCCCTCTTCGTTCAAGTGTCCATGAAAGTACAACTGTCATCTTCATCTAATAAGTGCATCATTCACCAAATACATTGTCATCCTCGGCTTTGATGCACTTCAATTGGTCTAGGTCACGGGCCTTCCTCTCTCTCACCTTGGCTAGCCTGTATAATTTTTTGTCCCCTCCTTTGGCCCCAAGTTCTTCATACAAACGTCCAAATGTTGCACTCTTAGCCTCCATAACGGCTAACTTCGCCTCTTCTTATAGCCTGTTTGGCCAAGCTGCAAAAATCAGCTTATTTTGAGAAGTGCTTTTTTTCAAAAGTACTTTTGATGAGAAGCAGTTTGTGTTTGGCTAATTAATTTGAAAAGCACTTCTGAGCAGCAATTAGTGTTTGGCCAAGCTTTAAAAAACTGCTTCTAAGTGTATTTTTCTCAAAAGTGCTTTTGGAGAGAAGCTATTTTTTTCTGCTTCTCCTCAAAAGCACTTTTTTCCATCTAAAAGCTTGGCCAAACACCTCAATTTTTGGCCAAAAGTGCTTTTGGCCAAAAAAAAGCACTTTTGGCCCAAAAAAGCTTGGCCAAACCGGCTATTAGTCTTCTTATACTCTTCCGTATTTGTACTCCTCTCCTCCTCGTCTTTTCTCTTTACTAGCTTCAAATACGTTGCCTTCTTGGCTTCCGCTTTTCCTTGGACTTGTCCATTCCGCCACCAGTCCCCTTTGTGTTCATTACGGTAACCCTTCAAGACCTGTATCACCTCTCTAGCAGCTTTACCAATGCAAGTCGCTATCGAAATCCACATATTACTCGCGTCCCCACTACTCCTCCAAGCCTTCATTGCTTGCAACTTCTCCCACCAACTATAGGGCTATATCCTTAGTCAAGGCTCCCCACTTGATCTTTGGTTGGCCATACGACGCCCTCTTATTCCTCCTCCTCTTAATATGTAAGTCCATAACCAAGAGTCTATGATGAGTCGCTATTTTCTCGCTCGGAATAACCTTGCATTCCAAACATACACCTCTATCACCCCTTCTAATCTTGGTCTTGGCCACATACTTTGGAAGATGACCAAATGCTCCTCCCTCTTTCGAAAACACGAGTTAGCTATAACCAAATACATACACAATGCGCTCCTAAAAAAAGGTTTAAGTGGTGAGATCAGGGCACGATGGTTTAAAATATTTTGTACTAGATGCATTATTTAGTTAAGGTGGGTTGTGGAACTGAGGTGATAAAATCTTACATTTTGAGTAGGTGAATCTGAATGAATAAGCTATATTAGTTTCGCTTGTCATCTTTATATGTTTCTTCCCTATATTGCTTTGTTATGGATTGCTCTTTTGAATACTATGTGTAAGTTGGAAATGCCGTCTTAGCCAATAGGTTTTTCAGTTTCCAGATTTGGAATAATGGCAATTGATCTTGGTAATATTTGATCCTTTATTGGTATCAATTTACTGGACGATTTCTTAAGCCATTAACTGGTGGTACCCATGAAAAACGATTCTACAGGGACTCAACTCAGAATTTGTTCGTTGTTATGGGCGCGCTTTATTCTTCATGCTTGTTCCTGGGAGTCAATAATGCTTCTTCTGTACAGCCGGTAGTTGCTATTGAGAGAACAGTTTTCTACAGGGAGAAAGCTGCTGGAATGTACTCTCCCCTACCATATGCAGTAGCTCAGGTTAGCACACAATTCACATCAAGTGCATCTTAATTGCTTCGAGTTGCAACAAATATAGTATGTTAGTATTTTCTGGACTACTCAATAAGACACGACATTGAATTGTTTTTAGAAAAAGATGATGTGATCGATTACTAATATCAATAAACTTCTTCTCTTTTGGCAAACAGGGGTTAGTCGAGATTCCATACATCCTCATCCAGACATTACTATATGGAGTCATTACATATTTCATGATCAACTTTGAAAGGACACCTGGTACGAACTAAGAATTGTTATTTTTCATGATCAACTCCATTTTGTCTTTGCTCTTACCTATCCCTAGCTCTTCAAGGAATGGGCTGAGCGGCCGTTTTGGTTGGTTTATCTGTAAACCATTCTGCTGAATAACAACCCCCAAGGATTTCATCTGCTTTTCTATGAAAGTGTATCTGTGTAACATGAATATCAAAGACCATTGTTGCATATATCATTTTCTGATGTTTTACAGGAATTCTTACCATACATTGATATTCTTCTTTATGTAAAGCAGTCGTTGGATCACAATGTTGCTTTGCGTTATTCAAAGAAATGTGATTCTTGAAAAATCATGCCTAAATATTGGAGTTAAGTAGTATGAAAAAGGGTAATCTCCCACATCCAAGGAATGGGAATGCTTACCATACATTCATATTCTTCTTTATGTAAAGCAGTAGTTGGATCACAATGTTGCTTTCCACTTTTCAAAGAAATGTGATTCTTGAAAAATCATGCCTAAATATTTAGAGTTCCCAAAAGTAGCATGCAAAATGTGATCTCCTATTTCCAAGGATGTAAATATAGTTTTAACTAGTCCTTGAAAAAGGCCTGTTATCTTGCCTTGTGTCAGACACCATCTGTTTGTTTTGCAGTCTGCAGCTTATTATGTTTGTCTATTTTGATTCCTGGATTTTTTTCTTCAGTAGTTACTGCAGTTTATGTTGGAAATTTATTAAAATAAATCCATGAACATGCATTAGTTCTTTTTGCATTGAGGTAAGCAATTAGGTTTGGATTTTACTCTTGTCTCTTTTCTCTCTCTTCTTTAGAAATTTAGGGAACAAAATTTGACTTGTTAACCAAGAAATAAAGATGCATATGCAACAAAATAGCCATTGAAGTATCAACCCTTTTTATGGTGATCAATGAAAAACATAATGAGATGTACGTCTTTCCTCTGACATTTCGACCATTAACTTCAATTCATGTAGTTAATATATATCTCTGATGTTACTCATTTTGAATTTCGATATGTTAATTTCATTAATCCATGTCCTTCATGGGAACTGCACTAATAGCAATTTAAGTTAAATTCCTTGTTGTTAGTACTTGGTGGTCAGATAATCTAACTCGTGCTTTTGTTGGTATGTTGCAGCCAAATTTTTCCTATATCTACTGTTCATGTTTCTGACATTCAGCTATTTCACCTTTTACGGCATGATGGCTGTTGGTCTTACGCCAACTCAACATTTGGCTGCTGTCATTTCATCTGCATTCTATTCGCTGTGGAACCTCATGTCTGGCTTTCTTGTTCCAGCACCCGTGAGTACTCTTTTCCTCAACACACACTCATCAGAAATTACAGCAGTTGTGTGCTTAAGAAAATTACCCTTCCTACTTCTTTTGTCTGCTTATAGGATTTAACTCGAGGGCCAAAAGTGTGTGTTTGGATATATACATATACACACATGCAGGAAAAAGAGTATCATGAGTACACTTAGAAAAGACAATGTTTTGGGATGATGAAGCACCACATTAGATTTCAAATGGTTCTGTATAGGCAATTCATTCTAAACAGTCTATTTTAATCAAACTAGTTTATATGGTTAGTTAACTCGTATTTTACAATTCCTGTCCTAAAATCACCAATTATGTTAAAGTGCAGGTGATTTTGATTGTAAAATATAAGCAACAATTTATTTTTAGAATTGCTGTAAAAGAAGGGAAATAGAAAAATTCAGCGGAGCTGTAAAAATTATACTAACAATTATCAAAGGAGGAAGAATTTGGAACCATAGTTTGTTTGTCCACTGTGGTTCCTTTGCTTACTGAATACAGTAACTCTACAACTGTGTAGTTTGTATTAGAGATTTCTTCCACTCTTTTCTTTCTTCCTTTTTTTCCTGTGAGGAGTTAATTGGCAGGAAGAGATTATATCTTAATGTGGCATCAAGTGACCTTTCTATTGGCAATCTAGTGCAATATGGAAGTGAGAAAGTTAAGCTTTAATTGAATTTGGAAGGAGTTATCAGCGTGTTTGCTGACGCTTTGACCAGTGGCGGAGGCAGGATCTCCACGAAGGGGTTCAAAAATAATTTTTTGTAGCTAGTAGGAATTGAACCTATGACCTTATGAAAGTTTTGAACCCCCTTGACCACTATACTACACTTTTGGGATGTGTTAAGGGGTTCAAAACTTAATATATAGAGGTAAAAAACAGATTTTGCCTTATATATACCGTGTAATTTTTCGGCGAAACCCCCTTCCGCCCCCCTAAATCCGCCCCTGGCTTTGACTACTGTTTTCTGCAGCATGCGTTGCATACTTTTGCTAAAAAGCCTATGTTTTTTATTTAGCATTGCAGTGTTGTCAATTGTACTGTGGCTTATTGCAGTGGCGGATGCAACATTTTGTTCTACGGGTTCAACAAACATAGTAACACTAAAATTTCAACAAATGTTAAATTCTGAGATCATAATAATTAAAGTACAATGAATCAATGCTAAAATCTTAATAGTTGAACTCATTAAGTTTAAATCCTGAATCTGTCTCTGGCTTATTGCATAAGAATTTCTGCATGTTTGTCAAATTATGCAAGTCTTTATGGAGTGTAAATTGCAACCTTTGTTAAAGCAAAACTCATGGTTTTCTCCGGTGCTAGTAGGATTATACAAGTGTTTGGATCTTTTATGACAATTAGTCCTTTTGAATTTTGTTGTTTCTCTATCTTATGCATGCAGAGTATCCCTGGATGGTGGATATGGTTCTACTACATCAGCCCAGTGGCATGGACGTTACGAGGCATCATTAGCTCTCAACTTGGCGATGTAGAAGAACGAATTACAGGACCTGGGTTTGAAGGCACTGTCAAAGAGTATCTGGAGGTCAGTCTAGGTTTTGAACCTGGGTGGATTGCCTGGTCAGCTGTCATACTTGTTGCATTTAGCTTGCTCTTCTTCTCTGTCTTTGCAATATCAGTCAAAGTTCTCAACTTCCAAAACAGATGATCAGAAATCGAGATCCTTGGAACTATGATTGTAATTTCTTCTTGGCATCTTTGGATTGCTGATCTTGAAAGGTCCAATGAAGCAACCAAAAGCTTGATTTTATATCAAACTATGGATTGAATCAGATAGGAAGTTGCTTTGTAGAATTTCTTTGATCAGACCCCAGGCTACAAAACTTTTACAAATATTTGCTTTGTTACAAGATATTTCTTAGACAGGATTAAACATACCGGATGTTGCAAATTTTGAAATGAGAATTCTTTTCATCCTCTCTCAAATTTCTGCAAGAGATAGGATACCCCCTTTGCCTTCACCTTTTCTTGAGAGGGATGTTTCTTGATACATTAATTTAACTCAACAAATAGCACTAATCTGAATTACATTTTTGTTGCCAGTATTTTTCCTTTCTATTTGCCAGAAGTTACTACTTTACATAACTATCACATTTTAAAAAATATATTATAAAGTTTTAGCATGAATTCCGGTATTACAATTATGGCAGGAAGATATTTATATTTATAGCACATAGTTCCATTAAAATAGGATATCAATTACTAATCTCTTAAAAAAAGCAAATTAAATGAAAAGTGAACAATCCTTTGTCCAAAAATCACGCTTTTTTGTTCTCTTTATTTATTAGTTCTCCCTTTTTTTCTCTCTTCAACTTTCCTCTTTACATTTTTTGCCCTTCTAAATTTGTTCCATTCGTATTTTTTCTTCTTAATTGACTTTCTAAAGTTTTTCTTTGCCCTCTTTCTTTCTTTCAAAAATTATAGCTCTTGATTTTGATATTAATTTACGTTAATATATACAAAAGGTATACATAAAAGATATATCCTTAATTAAGATTGCATTTATCATATAAAATATAGATAAAAATACATCTTATATTAGAGATGACATGTATGTATACATTTGTATACATAAAAATACATCCTGAATTAAGATTTCACTTGACATATATAATATATAAAAATATACTTTAAAAATACATCTTAAATTAAGATGACACAAGACATTAAAATACACAAAATATATACATAAAAAATACATCTTGAATTAAAGTGGCACTTGATATTGCTGGTATATTTACGAAATAATTCTGGTATATTTCATACTTGATTAGCAATATATAGTTATATAAATGACAATATAATGGTATAATGTATATGCATATGTGTATACTTTTTAAAAAATATTGTTGGTATATAATATAAAATGTATAATTTGAAAAAAAATGATTTTGAGTATATAACTGATTTATTTATGTTAATAAATGTGAATATTGTGAGAATGATATATTAAAATCTCTCATTCCTATAATTACTCTTCTTCCGATCTCATCGAAGCCGTTCCTACTTTCTCGCTCATGGAGAAAGGAATGTGGAATTAGGGATAACTATTAGAGGGATTGGGATAGATAAATTAAGGGTCGAAACTGGTTCCTAAATTTAAGGGTCATTAATTATTTTTTAAAAGTTGCTTGTACGTAAACAAACATGAAATATGCTATAATTGTTAATAAATTTGTTGTTTCTGGAATAAACTAAAATTAATGTCATTTATTTAAATAATTTTTGATTAATGACCAGCAGTGTAAAAATCTCCATTATAAAACGATGCCTCATTTTTTTTTCTTTGAATACAGAACATAAGGAAAATGGTACTTTTTTGGGGGGGTGTACGTAAATATGAGAGCAAAAAGATTAGAATGGAGATGCTTTGATTCCCTATAGTTCGCAGTTCTATATTTGAATCTTATTTTTTATTTTATTTTTGAATAGAAGATGCATCACACTAAAGTCACTTTTGTTATCACAAAAAATAATGAGTATAATACGGTTTAAATTTGTAAATCCACTCTGCACAGTCACATACAACTCCAATCCTAAAATGGCATAAGATTAAACATAAAAAAGAGAAGAAGAAAGTATATTAGATGGCGTACCCAGACTCAAGTGGCTCTGCTTTTGAAGATCCGAAAACATGAGAACTAAGCAGAAGGAGAGATACATCTAAATAATATCAAAATAACTCGATTGAACTCACTTTTGCAGATTCCAAAGTACGAGTACCACGCTGATTGAAAGATAAATTTTAATAATATCAAATTGCAAAGTCAATCTTTACATGTCTCTCATAATATACTATCAAAATTATTTAGAAAAGTTAATCAAATACTAATCGTTTTTCATATACCAATTTTTACCGGAAAAATGGTAAGTTAAATTTGTACGTGGTTTATAGATATGTGAATTAAATTAATCCGATAAAATAAAGTAACGAAGAACAAAGCAATTAAAATAAAGAGAATTGAAGGAAAGACAAGCCTGAGCTTCAGAATGTTCCCACTGAAATCAAGAATAATTAGAAAATCTCGACAATACTTATATAAAGCTTGAGAGAAAGGCCTTTTGCTATCAGTATTTTTTCCTCCTCATACAATAGAATGAAAGCCTCTATTTATACTAGAGCTATCGGGTGTATGATTATAGATTCTGCCCCTTAATTATCAATATTAATGCTACAATAAAATGTAATTAAAAGGTAAAAAGAATAATAAAGGCTAACAAAACCCAATAAAGGCCGATAAAAATAATAAAGATTGGGATCTTCCGTAACGTTTCTACAAAAGTCATATTTTTAAGGTTTGTATCTGGTATCAACGTGGTTGAATCACTGTTGATCGGTCATCCTTGACATGTATTGCTTCCTAATTTGCTCATCTTTTGAGATCGGTTTTCACCGTATATAGATAGTCCCACACTTTTCGGTTACTTATTGTGATGTGATCGGAAAGTGAAAGTTTTCCACTCTCGTTACTGCCTCATTAAAAAACTTGCTAGAAAAATCGAATCGAGACAAAAACCGGGCAAATGAAAAAAGAGTGGAGAACTTAGGGATTCAAATGACAATTTATTATTCTCTCATTGACGATTGGTTGGCGCTGAAGAAGTACTATCAAAAGTTTGATCTCGGGTTTTTAGTGTTCACCTTGAATTTAATCTTTGAATTTTGACTTTTGGGTTTTCAGTTGAACCCCAAAAATATTTTTTTGAGTTTTGACTCTTGGATTTTTAGTTGTACCCAAAAACCTTTCTTTGAGTTTTAATTCTTGGGTTTTTAGTTGAACTCAAAAACTTTTATAACCACATAGCCTTAGAAACCAGGGGTGTTAATGACCTAGAATTTGTACTTCTGATTTTGATAAAGTCCAAATATTTAATGCATCCGGTTAATTTTGTGATTGGAAAATAAGGTATCCGACATTTAGCCATTTGATTGAATGACTTCATAAGATAGGGCCCTTATGTTTCCAGTACTTATGAAGAGAACTTCTCCTGTTTATCTGGGCACAATTGTTCGGATTTATAATCATTTTTTGCTTCTAAGTATGAGCAAATATTAAGAATAATTTTGTTCATTCAAACATATACGAGAATATTTTATAAAGCGCAAGTTTTGCTTCATTCCATTCCTTGAAATTACAACAAGTGACTATAACTTTGCATATACGACAATTTACAAGAAATGAATAAAAGACCTTGCAAGAGAATTGTGATCGGGCTGGAATTTATTGGTTCTAGCGGATTCATAATTTTGATTCCTTCTATTTCTTTTTTTTTCGGGGCTGATCTGGCAATCCCTAGTCATTTATCTGGCAATCTCCAGTCCCTTTCGTTAAGCCAGTTCGCGCTATCTCCGGTATCCTGTATGGATTGTTCCAGAGCCATCTTTAGATATTTCCGGTACTTATTGTCACGGTTTCTGCAGCTTTGATGCAACAGTCCCCAGCATTCATAGACATTATTGTCTTTCATCGAAGTTACTTTCTGGCGACTCGCTTCGGCTATGCCCCTACCTCATATCAGTCCGTGATCCTAGTGGGTATGGTTCAAAATGGTGTCTGAAATGCCTCCGATCAAAGTTCAATTGACGTTGATTTCGGGCCGTAGAAGATATTGATTTAAGTATCTTATCATCTTCTATGTGAATCTTTGACTCGTACATGCTATGAACATCTACCCAAGCTGTTACTTGAAATTCTAACAAAATCTCCTTTAATTTCCTTGAGGCATCGGAGCTTGAGGGATTAAGACCCTTGGTAAATGCTTTTGATGTTTATTCATCTGGTACATCCGGCAATAACATACGTTCCTGTAATGATCCGACTGATCGCTTTGAGTATTTGCATTCCGTTCAGCCGTTTGAAGTCTTAAGTAACTTCATATGATGTATTATGACTTGTGTGAGTCGTCGGTTTTAGTTTTCAGGTTATTCGGAATTGATTTGGAAGAATAATTCTCAACTAGGAAGCTTTGGAAGAGTTGACCAAATTTGACTTTTTAGTACGTGACCTCGGAATTTTGGTAGTTCCGTTAGGTCCGGATGGTGACTTTTAACTTGGGCGTATGCTTGGATATTAAGTTCATTAAGTACGATTTGATGTGTGATTCATGGTTTTGATATTGTTATGCGTGATTTCGGGCTTTGAATAAGTTCGTGTTATGTTATGGGACTTTTTGGTATGTTTGGAGGGGGTCCCGAGGAGCTCGGGTGAGTTTCGGATAGGTTTGGGTTGTGTTGCGCTCGCTTTTTATGTTTCGACGTCGTTTTTCAAGCATAAATAGTACCACATACAGCAAATGAGCTCCAATTTCTATTCTGATTGAAGCTTTAGATTCGTATCGTAATTTTGGAACCATAGCAATTAGAATCATCAAGTTTTAACATCGTATGAGGAATTTATGGTCATTTTATTAAGAATTGGGTTGACAGATTTTTTCCAGATTAATTACGAATTTGCCATTGAATTCTTATTTAAAAATCGAAACTATTTCCAAATATTGAAACCAACATATCTCCTTCATTGTAAGGTCAAATAGAGTGATTCAAAAGCCTAACTTGACTGAAATTTCATAAGGAATCTATTGGAGGTATCACAAGCGAGTTTAGGGATCATTTGGCATAAGAAACAATGCAGAACAACTGGCAGAAATATTTAATATCAAGGGTTTTCTCATTTGGTAATATTGAGTTGGGGAGCTCGAATTTGGGAGATTTTAGAGGCAACTTTTCACCAAGTGGATTGGGGTAAGTGTTCTCTAAATTTTTTTGGTTATATTTCGTAAATCTATCCACATTTTTTGTAATTGAATTATGAATTTTAAAGAGAAAAACTAGGGATTTTGTCTAAAGTTTCATACAGTGAAATTTTGAGTTTTGAACATCGATTCAGAGTCGGATTTGAATGATACTTGTATGGTTGAACTCGTAA